AATAATTAAACAAATTACAAATAAAGTAAATGCTAGAATAAATAAACTCTTCTCTAGTAAAACCATCTTAAAAGCAAAATAAACCGAATTATGATAAAGCCCTATTAAAAAGTAGATTTAAACAGACACTAAATTATATAGATAAGTCAGTTAATAAACATCCACTAAATCCAAAAATAGGAAAAGGAAAATTATATGGTTCAACCCACCTTTTTTTAACCTTTCTAATATTAATATAGAAAAATACTTCATAAAACTAATAGAAAACACTTTAGTAAAAATGATCTTTTAAAAAAGATATTCAACAAAATGAATTTAAAGATTAGCTATTCTTGCATGAACAATATTGAAAAAATTATTAGCTCACATAATAGTAAAATTTTGAGGGATTTTCATGACAATCAAATAAAAATGGATCGTAATGCAACCCAAATGAAAGTATTACCATGTAATTGCAGAACAGGATCAGATTGCCCAGTTGAAGGAGTATGCATGGCGAAAAATGTAATATACGAGGCAACAATTTTCCCCAAAGAGAATATTGAGCAGAAAAGTATATACATAGGAATATCAGCGGGAAGTTGGAAAATCGACTTCATAACCATCGCCAGTCCTTCAAAGATAAATGTAAAAAAAACTAAAAAAAAGCAAAAGGCACTGTCAAAGCATTACTGGGATTTGTTGGATGGTGGCTTAACCCCACAAATAAGGTGGAAAATAATCTCGAGAGCCAGAACTCCAATAAATTTCAGAGATAGATGCGACTTATGCATAAAAGAAAAAAATCCTCAAGATAAAACATAAAGATCCGGATTTATTACTAAACAGACATAATGAAATAATTTTTAAATGCCGACATAAGAATAACCTAAATTTAACTAAATATATTTAGAAATATCTATATGGGAAGACTAATATTACATGATCTTGTTTTTTTTTTTTTATTTTGGAAATGTTGCTATGCACACATGAATGCGAACACATAACTGTATGTATATAACTATGTAGTTGAACTTGAACATTGATAGGTCTTTTGATATGTATATGTATATGCGTTTATATGGAAAGATAGGCATGCATGTGTTATTTTTGTGTATTGTGGGAACATATTCGCAGTGGGTGGATATGGATATGGATATGTATGTATATATACTTGTTTGTATATAGGTGATTTGTCTTTTTTTGTAAAAATATATGTTGTTGTATGTATATATGGGTGTATATATGTATGTGTGTGGGTATGTGGGTACATGTATATGTATGGATGTGTGTTTATACAATTTTTTATAATTTCTATATATGTATGTGTTAGTGTGGGTGTGTATATATAGATGGGTACATGTATGTCGTGCCATAGATATGGGATGGTGGGTAATCTGTGTATGTATGTATAACTATAAGAATTTGTGGGTTCATATATATAATATGGGAGATTATAGATATAATAATGTAATTAAGTATGGATTTTCACATGGTTTTTGCATGCACACACGTGTGGGTGTATATATGTATATGTATATATTTGTGTATGTGTATGCATGTGTATATGTGTGTATATGTGTATATGTATATGTGTATATATGTGCATATGTATATGCATGTGTATATATGTGTATGTATATGTATATATGTATGTATGTGTGTATATATATATGTGTGTATATATGAGGGTAAATATATGTGTGTATGTGTATATATGTATGTATGTGTGTGTATATCTACATATGTATGTGTGTATGTATGAGTATATACATGTATATATGTATGTATATGTGTGTGTATGTGTATATATATATATATATATATATATATATATATGGATATGTATATATGTCTGTGGGTATGTGTACGGATATGTGTATAAGTATGTATGTGTATATTTATAGATATATAGAATATTATAAAAGAAGGACTTACAGTCCTGTTATTAGTGTTTTATCTCATTTTCTCATTTAATATTCTCCAATTGGAAGTGTGAGTTTAAAATTCTTTATAATAAGGAAGTAAATTTTTAAATTGATAAATTAATTTAAATTGAAATATATTACCTTTTATAATCATTATTGATGATAAAATATTTAAAGTGGAAATTTTTTTTTTTAAGTGGATCTTAATACATGAAGTTACCTGTGTATATCGGCACATGGGTACCTGTATGAGTGATTGAATATGTAAAGGAACGTGTGTATATGTGATATTTGCATGGGTGTGTATACAGTATATGACAGAGCAAGATCTTTAATGCACCTTCAAATATTACCCCATATTAACTTAACTAAAATTTAAGTAAAAGAGATTACCTAACTTCATGAACGAAATTTAAACAGATAGAGATGTCAACTTAATAATCAATAACTAAAAAAAAAAAATTTAAAAAAATATAAAAGATAACTAGAAGTAAACTTATATTTTAAAATAAAATTTTATTCCTTTAATGTACTTTCTATGAATATATTTTTCTAATCGACTATTTCATAGAAATTCCCCACAATCTTTTTAAAAAAAAATTAAATCACTAACAAACATCAAATTAAATTGTTTGTAGACAGTTTAGACATTCAAATATATATCAAACATTATAATCTCTATGAACCCCCAAAAAAACACTTTCAAAGTAAAACAAAATGACACCTCTCATGACTTCCTTCTCTCCTTTTCTTTGTCTTTTTTCTCCTCTACCCCTTCCATATCAATATATAACTTCCGTTAAGTTAAGCGTTTAAATGTGTCAATGTCTGGACCACCTCAAGTAATTTTAAGTATGAAAGAATAGAACTATTAAATTACATCTAACTCATTCATGTCTTCTCTCTCCCCACTCACTTCCACACTTCGCTAATTTACATATGTTTAATACGGCCCGTCAAAAATGTGTAAATTTTTCGTTTAAACCTTTGGAAATAAAGTGTGATGATCCGCAGTCCTTTAAAAGGGCTGTGGGGAAATAATTTATTACATGGAACCTTAATGTGGTCTGTTTTTATTTAAATTTTATTTAATATATATATATATATATATATATATATATATATATATATAAATAAAAAGAAAGAACAGTAAGATATATAATCCAGTGTTCTTATAGATATTTTTATTTTTACAAAATAGTGCTCACTGTAAATTTACAGAGCATTAATATTATAAATTAATTGATTTTTGAAACACGGTTAGAACTGTGTAGCGGAAAAAATATATTTTAAATCAATTAATTTATAATATATATATATATATATATATATATATATATATATATATATAATGAATGAATGAGTAGTGTCGTACAACTGAAATTTAGATTGTTGTGATGTTAAAGAATATATGCAATATAATACATTATTGTAGTTTTATTAGGAATTGAATAGGTTTTTTTTCATACTCTGGGTATGTACGTGTACGTTCATTTAGACTCATGGAATCTGTAGTTTGACAGACTTGTGATATGACTTCCCTATGGAATTCATCTTTGAGTTTACTTTAAATATTTCGCTGGTATGTATGCGTGTGTATTGTTATACTTGAATGTACATTAATACTTAACACACATCATTGATTGAATATCTCCATTATCAATTACATCAGCATATTTTTTTTGTTGATATCACTATGCACATCCTTTCAGAATCATCAGAGAATTCTTAAGCATCGTAATCGAAATAACAGTGACTTTAACAAGAATGAAAAAAGAAGACAATTGAAAACCAAAAATATTACGAAATTTATAAACAAATATCAGCATGAGGATTTCCGTTGCGAAAAGCACTTGAATCGTTTCCAATAGCGAACATTTGAAGAATATATTTTCGGTTTATATTTCATTAACGAGATAGAAAAAAAAAATCTATGCGAAAGTCGTGTATTTGACGTGTATTGCTCGCCTGGAATGATTGATGTTATTATTTATTTAAACTACTAAAGGAACACTTCATTAGGCTTGTCATTAGTAACCCAACCTGATATATCTTCTTGTTAATATACATCATTCTCTCTCTCTCTCTCTCTCTCTCTCTCTATCTATCTATCTATCTATCTATCTATCTAATTCTATACATGCTATCTGTGTTTTCTTGCTGTATCAGTTTGTTCATATCTATCTATCTATCTATCTATCTATCTATCTATCTATCTATCTATCTATCTATCTATCTATCTATGTTTCTTCCTTATCTATCTATGTATATATGTATGTATCTATGTATATACGTATGTATGTATGTACCTATCTATGTCTCTTCCTTATCTATCTATCTATCTATCTATCTATCTATCTATCTATCTATCTATCTATGTCTCTCCCTTATCTATCTATCTATCTATCTATCTATCTATCTATCTATCTATCTATGTCTGTTATCTATCTATCTATCTATCTATCTATCTATCTATCTATCTATCTATCTATGTTTGTTCTTCATCTATCTATCTATCTATCTATCTATCTATTTATCTGATGTTTCTCAAAACGCCCCAAATTATTCGTATTTGTTTAGAGACTAACAACATAACCCTGTAATATAAACCAATGGAGAGGGGCAGACTCATAAGCCAACACATACAATCCCCCTCCATTGCCAATAGTCAAGATTCAAAGAAAAAGAAAAGGTAACATTTACGAAGCTAACACTTTCAAACTAAGAATCTTTGGCGTAACACAATCTTTCTACCTATTGTGCGCATAAAATCGGCGATTTCCAAGTCACGTGTATGTTTATCTTTCGAAATCTTTTTTTTTTTTATCCGTTTTCTGATCCAAGGTTGCTACAAATTTCCATCAAACAACATTTCAATTTGATATCGCGGAATAAATTTTTTTCTGATTAGATATAAAATACCGTCAATGTAAAAACACAGAACTTGTTTATTTTGATATTGCCACGAACACTTGAATCACGTTTCAGTGAACTGGATTTTGATTTCGTTGTTGGTTCAAAGATATAAACAGGCAGTAACAGGGAAAGCGACTGGGAGATTTGCAAAGACACTTAGGAATAAATAAATGAGTTTCAATGTTTTGAAGTGTACGTAGGTGTTTGTGTATGAGGGAAAGAACAGATTCGTAGGAGGAATGCCACATAAGAGTAGAGAATAAATATAGGAAAGAAAGAATGAAAACATGAAAGAATGAATGAATGAAAGAATGAATGAATGAAAGAATGAACGAATAAAGTAATGAATGAATGAATGAAAGGTTGGTTGAAAGAATGAAAGAATGAATGGATTAAATAATGAATGAATGAATGAACGAATGAAATAATCAATGAAAAAATGAAAGAATGGATGAAATAATGAAAGAATGAATGGATGAAAGAATGAAAGATTAAATGAATGAAAGAATGAAGGTATAAATGAAAAAATGAAGAAATGACTAAATATGTGTATTTATTTGTGAAAAGAAAACTGTTAAAGTAAAGAAATAAGAAACGAAGAAAACGAGAAGGAAGAAAATGTAAGCAATTGAGAAAAAAAAATATATATATATATATATATATATATATATATATATATATATATATATATATATATGTTATGGGACCTTACCCATAATAACATAATAGACTATTCCATACGTAATAAATAATGCGCCTCAAGAGGAAGCAGGGAGTTTAGTCCGAAGTTGGACGTCCGGCTGATCGGTTGAATTCTCTGCCTTCGGGCGGGGAGGAACCCGAACGAGGCTAAGCCGAAGAACGGAGTCTCTTTCGGATATGTAAACCGACCCTGAACCCGTTTATACGGGTTCAAAGGGCATATTTTTTGCCGAGCCCATGGGCTCGGAGACCCCACGTTAAACTGGCTTTGTACCACATGATGCCATTGTGGTGGTGGTGGTGGGGTGTGCTAAATACCGTTCAATCTGAAGTCGGACGACCGGCTGTTCAGTCTGAAGTCTGGAGTAAAGTCCGTCAGGAGTCTGTCAGTCAGGCAGAGCGAACGAGCCGGTCAGTCGAGTCAGAGGCAGTCCGAAACAGAGTCGCGTTCAGACAATTACTACAAGACATTGGAACAGTGATACTGATCGAGACTACATTGTTCTCCCTACTAAACCTGATTGTTCGTACTAATACTTTCTACTTTTCTGTATATATTCCTGTTTGTACTATATCTGTGTTATTCCACACCTGTGTTCGAGTTCTTCTTTATTGGTTCTACCTTGGACGATCACCGTGGTACAAGGAACCGGACCATAATATATATATATATATATATATATATATATATATATATATATATATATATAAGAAGTAAATAAAAGGAAAACAGAAAAGATAAGCAGGGAATGTAACGAAAAAAAAATGAAGGAGATAAATTAGAAAGTGAACAAACGCTGAACGCAGAAAGAGAAGAAAAAAGTGAAGGCAATCGGGATAAGAATCCGAATGAAGAAAAGAAGCCGAAAGAGTATAATGAAAAAAAGAATCAAAGAAGCTAATATAGAAAAGGGAAAACCCCAATGGGAGACTGAAGAAAGAAAGAGCCAGAGTAACAAAAGAAAATGAAAAAGAGAGAGAGAGAGAGAGAGAGAGAGAGAGAGAGAGAGAGAGAGAGAGAGGTAGTAAAAAGAATGAGTGAGAAAAGGGAAATGAAAGAATAAAGAAAGATGATATGTAAAGAGAGAGGAAGCGTAAAGAAAGTGGAATGAAGAACATAAAGGATGCGAAAGAGAGTAAGAGAGTAAGAGAGAGGAAGGCAAAGAGGAAGGACTAGCATATAATCAAAAGGAAAGAAAGAAGTCATGCAAATAGTGAAAGAAGGAACGGAATAAGTATGTAAAGATGTAAAAGTTAGAAAGAAAAATTTTGAGAAATAAAGAAAGGAAAAAGAGAAATTAAGAAAGGAAAAAGAGAAATTAAGAAAGAAAAAGAAAGAGATGGAGAAACAGAGAGAAAATAAAGAGAACGAGAAAAAGAGAAAGAAAGGGTAAGAAAGAAAGAAAGAAGGAAAGAAAGAAAGAAAGAAAGAAAGAAAGAAAGAATAAAAGAAAGGGCGAGAAACAAAGAAAGAAAGAAAAAAAAAGAAAGAAAAGAAAAGGAAAATAACGGAATTATTCAAGCGGTAATATTTCTACCCGTTTTTTTTTTTTTTTTTTCTTAAACAGGAGTAGATGTTTATCTTTCTTTCCAGTTTAAAATTGGGTTTCCTGTTTTATCTGACGTCTACTTCAATCTATACTTGCAAGGTATTAGATTGCTTCGCCTATCGTCCGGTTCACAAACGGTTCAAAGTTAGTTTGAAAGCGTAAAGATTATGTTTCTTGCTTAAGACTGTGTCTTAGTGACATTTTATCGCTTTGCTCGAGATGAACAAATTGAAAAAAAAAAAAGAGGAAAGGAAAAATAAATTAAGGAGGCATGAAAAGAGAATTAAATTTGAAGAAAGAAAGGACGAAGGAAAGAAAGAAAGAACTAAGTCATACAAATAGTGAAACTAGGAAAAGAAATATAAATCAACGATGCGAAAAAGAAAAAAGAAAGAAAGAAAGAAAGGAATGAAGAAAGCAAGAAA